CATACGCGCAGCAGACCGCGGGTGGGAGCTACTCGAAGGCATGAAGGGCAACTGCATCTACTATGTGAGCGGCTGGTGGAGCTACAGCTTCTGCTACAAGGACGAAGTCAAGCAGTTCCACCAGCTGCCACAAAGTCGAGGTGTTCCCCATTATCCGCCTGTGGAGGACACCAGCGTACACAGCTTCGTATTGGGAAGGTACCCGAAGGAGGAGAAGAGCAAGAAAGCGGATGCTCGCAAGACACTAGGCAACGAAGAGGGCAGCAAGGAGGCTTTTGATGATGAGGACAAAACGACCGACGATGACGAGAAGGGCCTAGAGATCTCAAGACTAGAGACCAAGGGGTCTAGCAGATACATGGTACAGCGGCTGTCGGATGGTACTGAGTGCGACTTGACGGGCAAGCCGCGCAAGATCGATGTACAGGTATGTCCCGGCAGCGCCATTGTCCTCCAACACACAGTATTGACATCTCTTCCAGTTCCACTGCAACCCACAATCTGCCGACCGAATCGCCATGATCAAAGAAACAAGCACCTGCTCCTACCTCATGATTGTCGACACGCCCCGCCTCTGCCACGACGTTGCCTTCACCCCACCACAAGAGAACCTCGCACATCCTATAACCTGTGAACCCGTCATTCCAGAGTCTGAAGTGGACGCATGGACAGAAGCACAGCTATCCGCCAAGCTGGCCGCGGCCGAACGTCTCATCGCTGCCCACAACGCTGCCGACGACGCCAACACGAACCCGCTCCGCGATCTCGCCGACGGCCTCGAGGGCTCTACCAAGCGCATTGTCATTGGCGGCATTGAAGTCGGCGCAAAGTCGTTTGTGGGAAGCGAAGGCAAGGTGATTGAGAAATCCGTCGTTGTCGGCGGAGGTAAGGAGACATTTATCGGCACCGTAGCGAGTAGCGACGGCAAGCAGATGTCCAAGGAGGAGATGAAGAAGCTCAACATTGCCGATCCCAAGGATGTTGAGACCTTGAAAGCCAATTTGAGGAAGCTGGCTGGCAAAAAGGGATGGAAGCTGGACCTTGTGGACACACCAAGGGGCAGGGAGTTTAGAGGTATCATCGATACCGAAGATCAGGATACTGAGAAGACGAAGAAGAAGTCAACGAAGAACAAAGATGGCGATAGTGCGGGGATGGGCAAGGAGAAGGAACATGAGGTTGAACAGGGCGATGAGGATGAAGAGATGCAGGAGGGGAGTGAGGAGGTGTACAAGGATGAGCTTTGAAGCGCTTATGGTATAGTCATGACACTTTATTACGACTATTATGATTATGGCCTACATGTTGGTACAACTGAGATAAGAGTTCGTGCAGATCATTTTTAAAGTCTTTCTCAATGCTGACAGAGAGTGTTTGATAAACCTCTTCGGCCAGCTAGGCGTGTGCTCCCTGCTGATCGACAGCACAATGTCGGTGCTACTTTGGCCCACAACCCCAGGGTTTATCTTTGTCAGGACAACCATTTTCTATGTAGTTAGCAGTGAGCATGCCTTGTTCATTCGCCGCGCCCACGTGGAGGGGAACGCTTCCGCATCCTAAGAACCATTAGCCCCGATTTCACAACAGCGACAGAAGAGTCCAACTTACGTCCACATCCAAAATCTTTGAGTCGCTGGACCAACATTTTGACATCCCTGATGGCAATTGGTCTGTGTAAATTGTGGGCGATGATGCAATTGGCCGCATAACTGGTCTTTGTACAATGCGCGCACACAATCCCCTCGTTGTTCTTGTATTCCCAGTCGTCGTCTGCGAATAGTGCTCTCAGTAAAAGCATACTTGATAGGGAGGGGGCTGAGCGTGTGTTGCATGTACTTACCCATCAGTGCTAATGTCTCCTGAATCTGCCTGAGGCTCCCCTTGCAGATACGACATAGACTGCTACCTTTGCAATTGATACCCCAAGGGGCCTTAAGGGTATGTACGTTCTCGGATGTTCCGGGAGGAAGAAATGTATCGATGGGATCGTCGGCGTCGATAGTCTGGTCGGCAGGAAGGTCGGTATCGATAGTTTGGTCGACGGGAACATCTTCGTCAGTAGTCTCGTCGGCTGTAACGCTGGAAGCAACCTCATCGCGGGCAGCCTTGCGCTTGTAATCGCAGACACCCTCTTTGCAGCCAGACGTGACGTAGTTGACCGTGATCTCGCCAGTGTTAACGTCGTTTCCCGGCTTGGTAGGGCAGCTGCCACATCCTGGCAACGAGTCAGTATCGGAAGGTAGCGTAGGCCAAGGTACACTTACTACCGCATTTGTGATTGACTAGGTCATTGATCTTGCTCTTGATCAGGCTGCCATTGACCTTCTCGTCCGACTTGAGCTTCTGTGGGAAGGCACAGAGGCCGTCGCACTTGTCGGGATTGGAACATCCACTGCAAAGATTACAAGCGATCTGGTCGCCGTTGCCCCACTCTTCTTTGTCGTCTAGATGAAGGTTGTTAGCACAGCTCAGTGCGGCGAACTTCTTTTGTAGAACATACCAATAGTATCAATGTATGACTTGATCTTCGAGAGGCTAATGTCGCAAGTCGACAGCGTGCACATGGCGCTGCCGCGGCAGTTTATTCCGAGAAGCGCATCCATATCATTGGGGTCTTGGTCTCGGGGAGTGACGCCGTATGCGGAGTTGGGGTCTATAGAAGATTAGTTGGAGGCTTTTGCATAAGCTGGGACTGAGAGCTTGCGAGATGGGTGAGCGAGAACAGCCGCCGCCCGGACAAGGACAGTGGCCGTCACCGTTAGAAGCGTGGTCTTCATGTTGATGGCTGCTCAGTACTGGTGTAACTAGAGAAGAAGTCGACGTCCAGCTCTGATTTATCTCAGTGGAGAGATTGAAGAGGCACGGCGGGGGAGAGAAAACCCAGGAACTATATACTGCAATGGGAGCGTGTTGGATCTGAGTGAAGGTGAAGGCAACAAGATCCAGGATCCAGCAACCACCCGGAGGAAGCTTAGACTGGATAGTGGTGGAGAAACGGGCACCGCTTGTGTAAAAATGTGACGTTCACCGTATGCATTGCCGTATCAGACACGATAGTCTGTGCTTCTAACCCCTCGAAGCAAACGCAAGAACGTGCATGTGTCTTGGCAGCTCTCATTGGCGTCGCTCCAGATCTCGCAATACACACCAATATACTGAATCCACACGACTCGAGACCGTATGACCACCCCTCAGGTCCCATGTCTTCAACTGATCATAGTCCTATGCCACATCGCCAACAAGTGCTTCGACAATTAATTTGTGTTGCCTTCTCCTTCCTTGAGCAGTCACGATCTTAACTTTGACACACTCTTAAATCCCCAATGACGTTATCTCGAGACCCTAACAAACGACTTGACGGGAAAGACCCTGGGACATAAGGAAATCGGGAAAGAGCGAAGAACGATGTAGTGAAACACTAAAATTGTAACCGCTCATCGTCATCGTGCAAGCAGTCTGAAAGTTGCAGTATCTCCACAAGTTTGTCCCAACAATATGCTAAGCCTGCTATGTCCTGATAGAAGGTATATGTCACCGCATGCACTTTGGGCAAGACGTTGGCGAGGCAGATAGGGACTGCTCGTATCATAATCTAGACAAGATTTCACGAGAAAACGCGAGAAGAACGCATCGTTCATATGGACAAGCTGAAGCAGAGTTGCGAATGAAGGGACAGTGAAAGCGTGCCCAGGTGGTCGAGTGAAGCACGTGGCAAGCGAACTCACTCGTTCCTTCCCTCAGCTGTTCTGACATCATCCTAGCCGCACTAAGCCAAAAATGATCGACTTCAGGTCCACGCAGCCTTCCGGGCTCAATTCCCCCCTCCTTCTAACCTAATTCAACAGCACTCGGACCGTTCGCGCAAGAACGCTCCTCACCGTGCGCACGGGCGATAGGGAACTGATGTCGGTGTGGGTCTAAAAGTGAGAGAAGGCTTGACAACGGTGGAGACCTCTTAATATAGATGGAGCCATGTTGTCTCTCCGTATGTTCCACCAACTTACCCCCGCAAAAGAGTCTACTCAACCCGCTGAGAGGTTTACCTCTACCTTATTCGTAGACCACGGACGCATCTCGTGCCAACATGAAATTCATCTTCGCCACCCTCATTGCCGTTTCGAGCCTGTTGGCTTGCACCGTGCGTTGCTTCCCACCACTTGCAGAGGTTCCTCGTAGGTATCATTGACTAACGGGACCAATAGAGCAACGCCACGGCCATTCCAGCAGACCAAGCCAGTGTTCAGACATCCGCCGATGGCATGACTATCGTGGAGTTAGAGGTAACCGATGACCGGTTCCCCGGTATCACCTTCAAGGGCACAGCGAAATCCATCCACGAGCAGATCCAGGCGATCAATCCTGGGGCTTCCTCCGACGTGAACGTAGAGAACGTCGTCGAAAAGCTCGGTATTGAGAAGCCATCAACTGTAAGCCTCTTTTACCCTTCTCTCGCTAACAACGCATTCTGATCTCATCATGAACAGTTCAATTGCGACTGGGGCACGGACGTCACTGGAGCTACTTCTTGTCATGACGGCTGGTTTTGGCTCCGAAAACTCAATGACCGCAAGTGCTGTGTCAACGGCGGATTCGAGCACTGCGCGATGATTAGCTGCTCATACACGTGCGGTCTCTTCTTGTGCAACAAGGTATGTATTCGTCGCCAAGCTCCTTGGCTTTTGGATCTTGGAGAGTTGTTCTGACTACTTATATTAGCGCGACACCATGTTCTGCGCTGCATGTTGGGATCTCGCCCGAGACATGAAGGCTATCTTGAATACTTGCAAGCCCCATATAAAGTATGTTCAACTTGCCTCTGGAGCGATGGACTTTGATGACCATTTCACTGGCGTTCAATATCACAAATGTTAGAGCATGGCTATCCTGCTTTCCATTGAAGGGCTTGAGGCGTTGGCGAAGATCTGGTAGTTCTATATAATCCGTGGATTAGATTGAGGAGGGTGTTGAGGATGTATCGCGATCTGCGGCTCCTCTGTTGCTTATCCATCCGATTCAAGATAGTGTAGCAGTAACTCTGGGTTCATCATGACCTTCTCCAACTTTGTCGACATCTCCTCGCGATTACCACCTCCACTCAATATCTTTCTGATGGCCGAAGAACTAACCTCTTCTCTCTTCTCATCCCCATCAGTATCTCTTCCACTACCCAAAAACGTCACTGTACCCCCAGTCTTCTTGTGGCAAACCCACGTCGGCCCCACTCCCTCATGGCATCTTACCAGAATCTCATGCAGCAAGTTGTCTTGCCTGGATCTAACATGCGGCTCGCCTTCCAAAGCAGCATGCCCACCGCAGTACTCTTGGATTCGTAGAGATATGCGACATTCATGATTCGCGCCTCCGCATTCACAGCTGGAGTCTCCCTTCCTGCTGGTTGGTGTAGAGATCAAGCGCCAAGATCTACATCCAGGTAACCGTCTGGGCGAACGCTTTGGATCCTTGAACAGACTAGACGGCCGTGTGATGTCGCTGGTGATTATTTCTCCCCATCCTATGAGCCAAGAGGGCTTTGTTTCGACTTTTTCGCGTTCGAATTTATCGCTTCCAGCTAGGACTACAAAGGAAACTTGGAATCCGTCTTTCTTCGCTTCTTTGATCAGAGTAGCCCCGTATTTTTCGAAATCTGTGCGATGGCCTCTGTAAAACCAAGTCCAGCGCTGCAGTAGGTCGTTTTGTAGTAGCGCGATTCTTTGTTCTTTTTCAGTGGCGAAGACCTTTCCGTTGACCATAGCGCCGTCTTTCGCTTTGAGTTTATCGCGAAATGGAAGGAAGACGACGGCGATGGTGGTGGAGGAGCTACGTAGGAATGTATGAAAGGCCAGTTCGAAGTGACCAAGATGCGGTGGGTTGAAGGAGCCTGTGTACATTATGATCTTGTTCTCGCGATTGCGGTGGAGTACTGGCGCGTGCTCTGGTGAGGTGAAGTACGAGTCGGAAGGAGTTGGGAGCGACATGGACTTTGAGGCTAGGCGAATGTAGTATTCCAATGGGGCGGTTGCTGATTCTGAGTACGGGCTGTGTACGTCGGTGGAATCACGCTGTGATGTATCCACAATCGACTCTTTAAGTGACGGGTCTCGTGACTCGCAACTAGGCTCGCGTTGTCTTTTGCGCGAGATCTGCGGTAGAGGGCGAAGTGACTGAGCAGCGTCAGAAGGATCTGGCGATACGTCTTTCGCCGGTAGCTTCTCATCATGTCCGGGTACTGGTGTCTCATCTTTTCCTGCAGGATCTTCGTGGATGATAACATGCGAAAGCGCAACATTCGCTTCGCGCCTTTGGCACTCCTTCCTCTTCTGGCTCACCTTGTCTTCTTCACATTGACGCATGGCGGTTATGATGAAAATTGGTGGGAGTGGAGGGTGCGGACGCGTCCCTTGCAAGATCAGCCGTTTGTATGATAACGAAAGTCCAACCGCGGTGAGCGGCCGATTGCTCGTTCCGGTGTCTGCGCACCACACGACCACTGGACAATTTTGATAGGGTATCTTCCAAAAACCCAGCGGAAAGTCTTTCAAGCGAGCGCGATATGCTATTAACGAAATAATCGTTCTTCTATAGACGTCAACATAGTACAACGAATGTCGGGTTACTTGCAGGGATAAGTTCGGTCCACGTTTGTACGTTACCCTCCCACGGTTCAGTTTGATTGACCCGGATCACTCATAGGTCACGACTGGACCACCAGGCAACTCATCGAGCCATCCTTCAACCGGCTCCTTCACAGCCTGTGGTACCCCACACTTGGTCGACACATCGGCAGCCTGTGTCGTCAACCCCGTGCATGTGTTCCCGAAGCAGCGTTGGTCCATAGCTTTCTGCAGCGCACCCTCTTTCCAGCCAAAGACATAATCGCCGTGTTGACCGTAGCCAGTCCTACACATGGTTAGTGCTGTCCCCCCACAGTCGCTGCAGGTCACTCACGCATCACCCATGCTGTAGACAAACGGCTGCGATCCATCCTCAGGCCAGAGAGACGCGTCATTGAAAGGCGTAGTATCCCACATGACCTCATACATGAGTTGAGGCATCTTCACTGGATGAGTCGATGGGCAAGGACCGCCAGATTCGAAAGAGCCAGATGTAGGGTACGCGACGTGGTCTTTGTGGTTTGGAGAATCAACGTTTTTGCCATCCCAGCATCTATGTTCAAGATTAGCGATACGCTCGAAGCCAGGTGAAATAGAGTCCACAAACGTTGGGAATGTAATAGTCGTTCTGATCCCACCCCCACACATGCCCGGTGGCAAGCTCGCTGTGTCGAATTCTCCAATACACGGTGCTCCACCAAAAGGATCTTGCTGTTTGTTCGTGAAACAACGATGGCAGAGCTGTTTCTGCTGACCCTCCTTAGCTCTCAAGCCTGGATCACCAACCAACATCCTGAAACCCTTGGGGAACGCGGTCACCGTACTTTTCCCGTCGTATGGCGGAATGTAGTACACCGTAACGCCTTCTCTGCCTTGTAGACCCAAGTTGACCATCTGTGGGACGCGTTGGAAGGTGCCGTTACGCGCTTTGAAGTAGAGATTCGCGGTCCAGTAGTTTGAGAGGTCTTCGGCAAAATCGCAGGTTGTGCAAGTGGCTTCCGTGCTGGGGTCGAGGTCGAGCGGTGGCATGGAGACATTGAAGGCGTTTCCGCCGACGATCTGGTCTAAACAATGACATGCAAATTTAGTATACATACTGTATCAAGGTTGTATATGGGCATCGCTTACGCATGTGTGCTGAAGGTGCAATGCCGGGTTGGACAAGTGGGTCGATACGGTCATAGACTAGCTGAGAGCACTGGAAACGTAGCATCGCCGCTGTTGCAAACTGTCGGGCCTCGAGGTCGTGAGTCGGCGATGCTGCGACATTGTGGAACAAAGAGGTGAGCGTGAGCGTGAGCGAGGACCAGTACATGCTGACGATCAAGTGGTCTGACAACGAGAAGATGGAAGGTAGATGTTGGGAATTAGGGAACGTGCTGTTGTGGCACATGAGTCTCATAATATATCATGAATGACGTTCGAAGCAAGTCTCCACATGGAACTCACCCCACATCATGTTCACGGTTCGCCATGTCGGGTAGTTTCATCGAAGGATCCTTTCCTATAGAAGGTTCTAAAGTCAACTGCCGTATATGCTCCTGTTGATTGCTTGTATAAATATGTGGGTTGACCAATCGGATCCTCGCAAGTATCCTGGACGGTTACCGACAAAGTGAGCATGCAACAAGGGTGGATCAGTCGGTGGCCAGTAGAAACTTGAGTTCCCTCATGGCCTGGGCATGGATTGCGGAATGCATGGGGCCCACGAGGTTGTGCTCCTGGATTGCTGGGATGACGTAGTGGCGAGCGGTGCCCCTGGGTGGGTGTCGTAGGATGCCGGTCTTGAAGAGAATGCCGAGACGCATTATCCCGCACGCAACGCAGAGTGCTATACTGACGGAGTGGTTCCAGGTTCTCGAATCAGCGTCCAATTGAACCAGAACGGGATGAATGCATTAGTATTTGAGACTGGATTGGCGATGGAGCTCAAAATCAAAGTGGCCTAGGATGATAACTGGGTATTGAATTGACAAAGAGAATCCCATTGGGTTGTATGTACATATCAGTTGAGTTTGCATACAATTTACCAGCCCTCACCGGGCTTCCTTGCCTATACACTGTTAGCAATAGTCCACACCAAACCATAATGCACTTACCAGCAATGCACCTTTTCCACCCAGCTCAGCCTCCAGACCATCTGGGTAAGTCTTGGGCGCACTAAGCTTGTCGGGGTAGAAGGTACCAACAGCCGCGCAGAGTCCGAAGACAGAGGCGACGAAGGTGCCCAGTAGGACGAAGCCCCATTGGGGGGTGAAGTGGTTGTAGTCGTGGAGCGCTAGTACACCCATGATATCGTTGTCCTCGTGGCAGGGCTCGCCATAGTTGCGGCGCTCCTGCTTGTCCCAGTAGTCGCCGTACGGGTCGCGGTTTCCTCGCTTCTCAGCGGGAGGGTTGATGTAGCCGCCATTCTGTCACCATCAGCACTAGGTCCTTCCTGCCTTCTCTAGAAAAAGTGGGCGTACTTGGTTCGGGTCTGTGAGCTCAGCGTGGGCCTTCTCAGCGTCGGTGAGGGCGGTTCGGATTTGGGTGAATTGGGGTCGTGGCCGGGCTACGGCGGGGACGACGGCTCGAGCCAGCGGGCGTGCCGCTATAATGCGCCTGGGGAACATGCTAGAGCCGAGTGAGTATTTGCGCGATGCGTATTTTCGGTGTCTTCGTACGTTGCGGCGCAATTGCGGGGGTTGGATGGGTTGCAGTATTGATGTGTCGTTCGCGATGAGCTCAGTTGCGGCCCCGGTAATGCTTGGCGGAGAAGTGGGTCTAACTGCTCTGCGTAGTACCACGACCGGTCATGGATGTGACACGAAAGGCGTCAACGCGACTGAGCAACCCGACGCCTGCCTGAAAGAATCTGCGGAGGTTCTAGACAGCCTCAGTCACAGCATTTTCAGACGTGATATCCAGCATTCCGCCGTCGTTCACGTCAAAGGGATGGCATGCGCGCCCGTGCCGGTATTTAGCGTGATCCCTACCAAACATTATCGCCGGCTCTGTTTTTACCATCTCACAACTTCGACATAACACCGCATCATCCCAACGCGAACCCGAATTTGAATTCCGACCCCGTCACCGTCACCAGCACGCGTCAGGCTATCTTGCGACTCCAAATTCGAGCTGATATATGTCGATTTGGCCGCGCGCCGGGTGGTCAACAGGCTCCCCAGGCCGCCTCTCTCGCCCTTCCTGAATGGAAGAAGTTACCGCCGCGGATCGCGACATCGACTCCATCCCACCACGCGACTCGGCCGCCGCACACAACCCATCCGACATCACACACAATGGCGAACAGAGCGAGAACGACAGCGCACCTGTGATCAAGGAGGAACATCCGCCGGCACCTGTAAATGGCGATGATGGTGGCGTCATTGAGCGGCCGCCAAAACGGCGGAAACTCGAAGACACCACACCGCGCCGCTCAGCATCACGCGCCGCATCGCCGCCCTGGAAGTCATTCGTGGCTGATGGACCGACGACAGTCTTCGAGAATGGCGTCAGGAAATCATCACGTGTGAGCAAGGATGCTGCACCGCCAACGCCGGAACCTGTAAAGCGGAATTCTCGCCCGGCCAGCAAGGCGACGCAGACCAACGGCACCCCTAAGAACGGCGTCAAGCGAGAGTCGCGCAATGGCTCAGGACCCATGTCTGTCTCGAAAGGGAAGACGCCATCCACCATCACCAAAAAGGTGTCCGCACAGTCTCTGGCAACGCCGGCGCGCAAGTCTGAGCGCCAGAGAAAGCCTCCAGCACTTGCGACAACTTCGCCCGTCACGTCGCCAGCACTGCAGAATGGGTCGCCCGAAGGCACGCGCAAGCGGGTCGGGCGCTCTCGGAGGGGAGCGCAGCCACTTACCGATGATCTAGGTGACGAGCCCATGGACGATGCCGAAACCAACGGACACGACCCCTACGCCGGTCTGTATGGATCGCCCGACGACTCGAACCCATCTATGCCTGCTCCTCGTCTCCGCCTGCGACTGCGAAAGCCCGACCCTCCCAACCGCCATCCCCACCATGCCCCGCCCAAGTCAGAGTACGCGTCGCTCGAAGAGTGGCTAGGACAAGACGACCCGTTAGACGGCGAAGAGGCGCTTCGGATCACACAGGAAAAGGCCGAGGAAGAGGCCGAGCGCCGGCTGCAGATTGTCGAGGCTGCTGAACATGGAGTTTTAAGCCAGGCACGATGCAGCGTATATGCGCCTGAAGCAGCCCCAGAGCCACCGCCACAATACGGACATTGGGACCACGTTGTCGCTCATGCCCTGCACTTCAACAAGCTATTGAAGGAGGAGAAGGCATTCCATCGGCGGACGGCCAAAATCTTGGCCAGAGAAGCATACGACTTCTGGAAGAACAAGTTCAAGCGCAAGAGCCAAGATGAGATCGAGCAGGAAGAGACCGAGCGGCAAGTGACGAGATACAAGCAGCTCGTGAAGGATGTCAAGGACGCATGGGGCTTGGTCAGGGTTGAGATCGACAAGGAGCGTGTGGCTAAATATGAGGAGGAACAGTTGCAGCTCGGACACAAGGCCATGGACGACATGTTTAATCAAGCGCAAGAGATTCTGGGTGGTCGTAACGCTGGCGACGGGGCCTCCTCCTTGGTCAGCGAAGACCGTGATTTCGATGAGATGGAATCCGAAAGCGGGGTGTCGCATGCCTCACAACAACAGCACGACGACGATATCATGTCTTCCAGCTCCGACAGCGAACAAGAGAACGAGCAGGACGAAGATG